GGGACACAGTTACCAAGACAAAACTAAGGGTATTTTGTAACCATACTAGTAAAAATGGTAAAAGATAAAATTCCAAATCATAAAAATGAGTAATATTTCTTTCTTCTTACTAAAAAGACTAACTGGAACTTCTTACAAATTAACTTTAGCTCCACTACATTGTTTTTGCCTTCTAGAAAACAATGATTATGTTTCCCAAAGATAAAATGTTTACCAAAGACAGGATTAAGTTTATGTCCTCACACTTTTCGACACAGAAAATGACCTGCTTCCTTGAATAGCAAACAAGTCATCTAACACCTGCCAAAATCCTATAAGAAGTCCTCCTGAGCACCCTGTCACTGTTACACCTCACAGTCCCTTATGGTCTGTGGTCATTCTTACTGGAATTCATTACACCCCTCTCTTTGACTAGAGGTGCAATCCTGCAGGTCACTGGCAAGTGGGCACTGAAAAAACCATGATTTTTATGTTTTGGGTGAAGAATGAAGGAGAAATTACTTTCATGACAAAATTTCTAAGTATAAAAGAATAAAAAATAAAGTTAGCCTGAGGAAAAAATAACTAAGTTGAATGCACATGACTAAATTGACTCATAATGTATAATGATCAATTGAAGAAAATAGCAATGTATATCTGAAAATCCATAATAAATATGGACTTTAATATATTTCTCTCAGGAAATGAAAACCACAATAATAGTTATTAACATACAATGGCTTAGAAAACAGTTGATAAAATATATCATTTAAACAACTACAGGGGCCGGCCAGGTAGTGCAAGAGGTTAAGTGCACACACTCCGTTGTGGCAGCCCGGGGTTCGCCAGTACGGATCCCAGGCACACACTGATGCACCACTTGGAAAGCCGTGCTGTGGCGGCGTCCCATATAAAGTGGAGGAAGATGGGCACGGATGTTAGCCCAGGGCCAGTCTTCCTCAGCAAAAAAAAAGAGGAGGATTGGCAGATGTTAGCACAGGACTGATCTTCCTCACAATAAATAAATAAATAAATAAACAAACAAACAAACAAGTACAGAAGTGTTCATTTCACAAGGAAATGCACATAGTTTTAATGACATACAACCGAACATTATTGAAAATATATTGAGGGAATATATTCAGCTACAAGTAACAGGAAAGACACACAGTCTTCCTGACATGAGAAAAGTGAATGTTCTCATGTGGAAGACCTGGGTCAAGGCAGCCACCGCACAACACAGCAGAGAAACAAAGTCCTATGTCCTCCTTTTTATGCCCCATGTAGATGTCATGGTGAATCAAGAAAATACACTCATTAGCACTATTAACAGCATAAGGTCTGTCCTATACACATTAGACCTTATACAGCTGTCATCTAGAGAAGAGGGGAATCGGAGAATACTCCCAACCACAAAAGTCTGAATTAGTTTCCTGGTGGACACAAGAGGCCTTACAGAAAAATCTAAACGCTAGTGGATCTTTGATGTGAAACTTGTGAAAACATCTGTGGAAAATTCACCTCTAAGAAAATGGAAATCAAACAGTTGTTGGTAGTTTTCAAGATACTCTTGACTAGAAGGGCAAAGAATCCAGAAAATGGGCTGGAAGATGGTTTCCTTGAAGCTCCTATGTAACTGTCTCTCTCCCTCTATGGTGGCTCCAAAATCTGCCTAATGACTTGTTTGCTTCTGCCTTCCAAATCTCATGCGAGTGAGGCTATTGGTGAATTCCAACATGGGACATAAAGGAGGTGGATTCTTATAAAGATCTAGTTCTTATTATTACCCCCATTGACATAACACAATACAGGGTGATGGTTCCAGCTCTAGATTTTGCTGCCCTATCACAAGCCTCTACTTAATTCAAAGTCTATTCACCAAATACCAGTCAGAAGGAAGAACAAAGAGCAAAGGCCCAAATATGAAAATAATAATTCACAGGAAAGTATACTGTTTGATAAACGTGCCATACATAAAAACTTATTCCAACTGTTTAATAGTATGGAAAATAAAAACAGCTCCTATACCCACTGCCCCCAAAAGGAGCTTTCTCTAAGAGAGGTACAGTATACACAGTGGATTAGGCATACCCAGGATCTGCAACACAAGGACAGTAAGGAAATCCCAACAAATACACACTGTCATTTTCCATTGCCCCTTAACACAGAACAATTAAAACATTATTAAAAATTCAAGAGAAATTATTTTTAACCAATTTAAGCAAAAAGTACTACCTAGAAAGCTTCTGTACAATTGATGAAGGATGACATGCAGAATTATCTCACCTCAATATTCAGTTCTGAAAGTAACAGAAATCCACAATCCAATGTTGCAATTTAAGAAACAGGGTTGGTAAACACAATATATTTACAACTCTTACACAAATCTTTCATGTTGAAAATTTTCTGGAACATTATAGACAAGTTAATTTCTGTCAAACTTTCTCATATTACTTACATTTATATTTCTTCTTGGTGAGAGTTTCACATAGAAAGATGTAGGCCAATTGAAGTTTTTCCCCACACTGTTTACTTTCAAGAGGTTTTTAGCAAGTGACTAATTTCATGCCTTCAGAAAGAACTCAGATGACAAAAGACTTCCCCACATTCGTTACATTTATATGCTGTTTCCTCTAGTGTGCAGTCTCACATATCCTTGAAAGTTTGCATGAGAAACAAAGGCTTTCCCACTTTCCTTTCATTCATGGGGTTTCTCTCCAATATGAGTTCTTTCATGTCTTCAAACAGAACTGGGAAAACTAAATGCTTTACTATATTTTTTTACATTCATATGGTGTCTCTCCAGTATGATGTTTTTTATGTATTTTGAAATTTTGATGAGAACTGAAGGCTTTCCCACATACTTTACATTCATAGGGTTTCTCCCCAGTGTGACTTCTTTCATGTCTTCGAAGAAATCTGGGATAAACGAATGCTTTCTCACATTCCTTACATTTATAAGGTCTATCTCCAGTGTGAAACATCATATGTGATCGAAGGCTTGAGAAATCTATAAAGGCTTTCCCACATTCCTTACACTCATAGGGTTTGTCTCCAGTATGAGTTCTTTCATGTCTTCGAAGACAACTGGAAGTAGTGAATGCTTTACTGCATTTTTTACATTCATAGGGTTTCTCTCCAGTATGAGTTCTTTCATGTTTCCGAAGAGAACTGGTATAACTGAATACTTTACTGCATTCTTTACATTTATAGGGTTTCTCTCCAGTGTGAATCCTTTCATGTCTTTGAAGTGAACTGGGAGAAATGAATGCTTTCTCACATTCCTTACATTTATAAGGTCCATCTCCAGTGTGAAAGATCATGTGTGATCGAAGGCTTGAGGGAACTATAAAGGCTTTCCCACATTCCTTACATTCATAGGGTTTCTCTCCAGTATGAGTTCTTTCATGTATTTGAAGAGAACTGGAACAAGTAAATGCTTTATTGCATTTTTTACATTCATAGAATTTCTGTCTAGTGTGATTTCTTTCATGTATTTGGAAAAATTGAAGAGAAATAAAAGCCTTACCACATTCCTTACATACATAAGGTGTTCCTTCTGTGTGAGTTCTTTTATGTTTTTTTAAGTTAGCATACAAACTGAAGGCTTTCCCACATTCTTTACATTCATAGGGTTTCTCTCCAGTGTGACTCCTTTCATGTATTCGAAATGAACTGGGATAAATGAATACTTTCTCACATTCCTTACATTTATAAGGTCCATCTCCAGTGTGAGTGATCATGTGTACTCGAAGGTTTGTGAGAGCAATAAAGGCTTTTCCACATTCCTTACATTCATAGGGTTTCTCTAAAGTGTGACGTCTTTCATGTATTCGAAGAGTACTGGAATGACTGAATGCCTTACTACAATTTTTACATTCATAAGGTTTCTCTCCAGTGTGACTCCTTTCATGTACTCGAAATGCACTGGAAGAAATGAATGTTTTCCCACATTCCTTACATTCATAGGGTTTCTCTCCAGTATGAATTCTTTCATGTATTCGAAGAGAACTGGAAAAAGTAAATGCTTTAGTGCATTTTTTACATTCATAAGGTTTCTCTCCAGTATGAGTTATTTCATGCATTGGAAGAAAACTGGAAAAAGTGAAAGCTTTCCCACTTTCCCTACATATATATGGCTTTTCTCCATATTTTTGATCATCATATGCTTTCTGTTCAGTGTGACATCTAACATGCCTATTAAGAGATGAATGATGCATGAAGACTTTTCCACATGCACTGCATTCACATGGTTTAGCTCCTGTAGTTTTCATGTTCAGATTGAGATTTGGAATAAGGCTGAAGTCTTCTCCACATTGACCACCCTCTTCACTTTCACAGAGTCTCACTACCATATGACTTCTGTAAAAAATGAGAAGCACATTATTAATGATTTCTTTATTACTAATTTTATATTTGTTATATATATTATGTTTTACAGGAAAAGTTTAGGTTTCCTGCTTTGTCAGAATTCTGTGAAATTTAACATACTGAATGCTCTGCAAGAGGATTCACCCCTGCTATTATCCAAACAGTGACATTCCTATATAGGGTTTATTAATACTGTTTCCAAGTGAACTCTTTTGCAAAAGCTGAACCTCTACATCACATTTCAGAAAGTATATTTGGTAAAAACTTTCTAAGAATAGCTGAATTTGAATCAAGGGTTATTTGTTTTGTTTGTTTCTTTTTAAAATTTCATAACAGACGAGGATTCTCACATGAGACACTGCTTTAAACTGGGAGTGTGACTCACCTTAGTTTTCTCCCCTGGTTTTTGCACTGATCTTCAATGTCATGATCTTCCCATGTTTTTCCTGAAATGTAGACTGAGAAAGTTGATTCCAAAGTATTAGAAATTAGAGAAAAAATTTTAGATTCTATGACCATGATGAGCTATGACCATTTCTAGTTTATTTACTAACATTTCTCCTTTCCACATTCTAAATCTTGGAACCATGTTGATGGGCAAGAAACACTTGTTCTCTAATTGATGAAGTGAAGGAATGTCCTCATTCTTACCTATTGAGGCCAGGTTCGTGAAGGTTTCCCACATCACATCTCTGTAGAGTTTCTTCTGTGAAGGATCCAGTAAAGCCCACTCCTCTGGGGTGAAGTTCACAGCCACATCCTCAATGGCCACTGAGTCCTAAAACATCACAAATATGCATAGAGTAGGATGCATAAGACTGACGGCACTGGACATCCATACTCCATTTGTAGGAAGGTTACATATGATTCTGTCATCTCCAACCATTTACTCTATGATGTCATCATCAAAAACTCACTGTTTTTCTGTACACACTTCCTCATCAATTTAAGAACATCATGATCACAAAGAAATTATTTACACATTTTTACTGTGATTGCTTCACATCATATTTCTCTGTAATTGCAAGGTCTAGAGCATGTTGGGAAATGACAGAAATGCTATACAATGAAACAAATATTATCATTAGCAGACAAAAAGAACAAAAAAGACAGAACACAACATCCATGAAGCCTAGGACAACCCTCTTTAACAGAAGGTTTAAAATACATATAATAGGAATACCTGAAGAAAAAGAAAGACAGAAAGAAACAGAAGAAACAAGTGAAGTAGTAATCACCAATATATCCTAAAATTAATGATACCTGGCAAACTGTACATCCAGGAAGCTCAGAGAACACTAAACATGATAAACTACAAAAGTGCACACCCAAGGATATCATATTCAAACTACAGAAAAATCAAAGATAGAGAATATATTGAGAAATGACAAAGAAGTAACACACCTTAGGTATAAAAAACTAAAGATTAGAATTAAATTAGACTTGTTTTCAAAAACCATGCAAGCAAGAACAGAGTAGAGTGAAATATTCAAAGTGTTGAAAATAAAATACCACTCTTCGAGAATTATACGTTAAGCAAAATTATCTTTCAAAAATAAAGAAGAAGGCCTCTCTGAGACAAAAATTGAGGAAATTTGTCATGATACACTTAACTTTGAATGAAATGTTCAAAAATTGATCAGAAAGAATGTAAATGATAAAGGTATAGGATTAGAACAGGAAAAAAATGAAGGTAAAATATCTTTTATATTTTTACAATTAATATAACAGATGACACTTTGTTTAAAATAATAATAGCAACAATGTTATTTGGTAATGAAAAGATTATGGACAAGTCAAATAAATGACAGCAATGTGACAAGGCACAGTGAGCAGAAATTGGGAATAGTGTGTTATGAAATATTTGCACACAGTGAGGTGGTATAGTGTTATTTGGCAGAAAAGTTGGGTTATGTGTAAATGTGTACTGAAAACTCAAGGGCAACCACTAAGACTTTTTTAAAAAATGTGTAATTGCTATGCTAGGAAAGGAGAAAAAAGGAATCAGATAAAATGCTCAATTTCAACAGAGAAGGTAGAAAAAAGTTGGAAGACAAAAAATCAATCAACAAGACGAAGACATAAAAAACAGTAAAAGAGGTGGTAAATATTAATCCAGCTGTGTCAATAACCACTTAAATAAAAAATGGTCTCAATATATTTGAAAGATATAGCAATATCAAATTTATAAAAAACAAATTGAGTTATCTTCTGTCTACAAGAATCCCACTTTCAGTGTGAAAACACAGATAGATGAAGGGTAAAAGGATGGAGAAAAATATTTCATGCCAACACTAATCCAAAGAGAGCTGCCATAGGTGTATGAATTATAGACAATGCAGATTCCAAACCAAGGAAAATTCAGAGATAAAGAGGGGCATTACATACTGCTAAAGGTGTCTATTCTCCATGAAGGCACAGCCACCCTTCATGTTTATGTGTGTAACAACAGAGGTGCAAAATACATAAGGCACAAACTGATAGAAGGCAAGGAGAAATAAATGAATCCAGTATTATAGCTTAGAATTCAACAACCCTTTATCACAAATTATAAACTCCAGTAGGCACGAAATGAGGAAGGACAGAGGAACTGAATAGGACTGTCAAACAACTGGATTTCACTGTAATCTAAGGAACACTTCATACAACAGCAGAATATATATTATTCTCAATTTCATGTGGAACATTCACCAAGACAAAGTACATTGTGGGAAATAAAGCACATCTTAACAAATTTGAAAGAACAGAAAGCATACAAAATATGCTCTCACATCACCTAGGCATTCATCTAGAAGTCAGTAACAACAAGATAGTTGGAAAACCCCCAAATATGTGGAGATTCAACAACACACTTCTAAATAATACATAGGATCAAAGAAGTCTCAAGAGAAACGAAAAAACATTTTGAACTAAATAAAATGAAAATACAACATACCAAAGGTTCATGGATGCAGCAAAAGCAGTGCCTAGAGGGAAATTTATGCCATGGAACAATTACACTGGAAAAACCAAAGATCTCTAATCAATAATGTAAGCATCTACCTTAGGAAACAATAAAAAGAAGAGCAAATTAAACCCAAAGTAAGCACAATAAAAGAAATAATAACAATTGAAAAGAAATCAATGTGACTGTGGGAAATCAATGGGGAAAATTAAAATGAAAAAACCTGGTTCTTTGACAAGACTAATTTATAAACATCTAGTGAAGATAACAAAGACAGAAGACAGAAATTACTAACATCAGAAAGGAAAGGAGAGGGAAATGAAAATAAAAAAGGATTTAATAAAATCCAACACCCATTTATGATAATAAACTAGTAATAGAGGGGAACTTTCACTTCTTGAGATGGAACATATTTATCAATCCTGTAGTGAAATTTATAACATTTGTTCCATACAGCATGATTGTCTCTGTGAAACCTCTGAAAGAATTCACAATAGAAATAACTCCTGGAATTAATAAGAGAGTATAGCAAGGTTGAAGGAGACGTGGGTCAATTCCTTTCCATATAGACCCACACAAACATAGTCAACTGATCTTTGACAAAGAAGGAAAGGCAATTCAAATGAAAAAGAAGGTCTTTTAAATGAATATTGATGGAAATAATGGATATCCACATGCAAACACACACACACAAAACGAAGGTAGACACAGGCCTTACACCTTTCACAAAAATTAAGTCAAAACACATCACAGATCTAAACATAAAATGCCAAAGGAATAAACTCTTAGAAGATAACATAGGAGAAAATCTAGATGACCTTGGGTTTGGAGATGAATTTGTATAATAAAAAACCAAAAAGCAAGGTCCACAAAAAAACAAAAGTTTTACTTCATTGAAATGAGAAACTCTTGCTCTGAGAAAGAGAGTGTAAAGAGAATAAAAACAGAATTGACAGAGTAAGAGAAAATCTTTGTAAAACACTTAATGGATAAATGACTGGAATCTGAAATTTCCAAAGAACTCTTAAAACTCAATAGTCGGAAGACAAACAACCCAGTTAAAAAATTGACAAAAAGATCTGAACAGACAGCTCACTGAAGAAGATATATCGATGGGAAATAAGCAATATGAAAACATGCTTCACATCAAATTCACTGGGAAATTGCAAATAAAACAACGAGGTATGATTAAACACTTATTAAATAGGTAAAACGGAAAACACTCAGAACACCAAATATTGGTGAAAATGCAAAACTGCACATAATCCTCATTCATTGCTGGTGGGAATGGAATTTGGTACCCCTACAGTAGAAGACAGGAACTTTCGTTGAAAACAAAATACACTGTTGCTACAGAGAGTAAGATCCAGCAGTAAGTCTCCTTGGTATTTTTCCAAATGAGTTGAAACCTTATTTCACACAAAACCCACACATGAATGATTATAGGCACTTTATTCATAATTGGCAAGACTTAGAGTTTTAAACAAGATGTCCTTCAAGAGTCAAATAGACAAAAACAATCAGTGGTGCATCCATACAATGAAACACTGTTCAGTGATAAAAAGAAATGAGGTATCAAGCCATGAAAACACATGGAGGAAACTTAAAATATATTCCTAAGTAAAGAATCCAATGTGACAAGGCTATGTAGTGTATGATTCCAAGTATATGACATTCCGGAAAAGACAAGAGCATGAGCCAGTAGAAACATCTTTGGTTGTGAAGAATTTGGGGGATGGAGGGAGGGATGAATCAATAGGGGGAACACAGAGGGTTTTTAGGGAAGAGAAACTACACTGTGTGATACAGAAATGATGGATCCATGTCATTACACATTTGCCAAAATCCACACATTGTACAACACAGAGTCAATGCCAATGTACACTGAGCACTGTAATGCATCCACATATGTTTGGAAACTATAACAAATGTACCACAGTAGTACAAAATGTGAAAAAGAGTGCAAACTGTGTGGATGCAGAGAGAAGGGTTATGTGGGAACTCTCTGTCATTTCTGATCAATTTTTCTGTAAACCTAAAACTTCTCTAAAAAATACTGAAGTCTTTCAAAAAAAAAGATGAAGACAGACTCATTACAATTCACCCGTGATGACTGAAATAGGACATCTCTCATCCAGCTGATTTCAATAAGCCAGTATGGTGCTCTATGAGCCTGAGACCCATACGGGAGGTGAAACTTCCACCGAATGCCTTGTTGGAGAGCAGGGCACTGTATACTCTGAGAGGTGCCATGGTTACTATCAGTGGTGTCAGAACTCCAAGGTGGATAACGAGTGTCCTGGTGAAGCCTTGTATTGTAGACCTAGTAATGCGCAGACCAGTGTTAACCTGATTTCTATTTTGGGTATCTCTGAGTCAGGAGATTCCCAAAGTTCTTTTACCACAAAGGGGGAACTCAAACAATCATCCAAGAGTTTGTGAACATATGCAAATGAGGCCAAATTTTGGCAAGTAGTAAGATGACTGCCTGATGTTTAGTTGGCTCTGGCGACACTTGGTTTGGTTCTTCATCAGGGATGTCCCAATTAAGGGATGAAGAGCAGCAACTCTCCACTGAGCTCCGTCATGTATGAATGTGTATTGTTGTCCTTAAATTCTTTGTACTTTCCAGTGCTGTGCATTCAGTTAATCCCAAGGGACTACCCAGGGAACCAAGGAGTCTGGGAGGGGGTGACCTCCTCCACCACCATAGTATATTTCAATCAACTGAAGAAAGGCCATGTAGGTGCTGCAGGTGGCATAAGCTGTGGGACCAAGTTTAGGCTGCATCATATCACAACTAGGTGTCAGTAGCTGGGCTGAGCTGGTGGGAGGCTGTTTCCAGGGCCAAAGGCATAATAGGCACCTTGAGAGATGGTAACATGCTCAGTGCTTGTGAGAGCCTCTATTTTCAAGAGATCTCAGTACCTGGTGACAATAGCAGCTCTAATGGCATATAGTGGGGGGACTAGGGCAGTTTCTCTCATCAGAAGCCTATGGACAACTAAAGGCCCTCTTCCAGAGAGCCTCAAACCACTGCCATCAGGGTTAGAGGCCTCCTGCATGACAACTGGTTGTTTTATGGAGTTTAAGGACCCCAGGCTTAAATTGGATTTGAACTAATTCCTTTGTTGTGCCAAACTTAGACCAATGGTGTTGTCCACTATAACCCTGAGGGTCAGGATCTTTCTTGCAACAGACACAGATGTGGCAGCAGCAGAGTTACTTAGGGGTCCTGGTGAGCCCTCTGCAATGCTGCTACCTACTGGCTGCATTTTTCTATCTCTTCTTTCCCTCTGAAATAATTGCTCTTTAACCAGTGACCATCTGATGGGCTCAGCTCATTCACAAGGTTTAATCATCCTCAAATCCCCAGACTCCCCCTAATGTGGAGGCGACCCCAGCCTCAGTTTCACCTTCACTCTAAACACACAGATAGTTTCCACCCAAGACATAACTCGGGACCACATTAAGGAGGGCCTCATTCCCAGACTCCTGCTCCTAAGAGAACTAAAACTGCCAACTCAGAGTTCCCTATATACAGAACCAGGCGTGGTGGGTCAACAATGCACACAGGGCAGCACAGCTCACAGGAGGAGCTGCCCAGCAAGCAGCAGCTCACAGTGCAGAAGATTCCAGGCTTTCTTATCAGTCTGTCCAGATAAGAAGGCCTAGGGGAAAACGGAGGGGTGAGGCTTAGTTTTCAAAAGTCAAACATCAAACATGTTGACCCCGGACACTCATTATAAGAACAAACAGAGGTAAGAAAAATAGGCATTCACACTGGCTTGTTTTTACATAAAGAAACACTAACAGGATGATGAAGCAGTGATCAAAACTGGTCATTTGAGGGGGGCTGGAGTGAGAGCAGAGGAGTGGGGCAGGACATGGAAGCAGGGAGTCTTCTTAAGTTAGTTTCCTCTCTTAGGAACTGTTTTGATCTTTCCATGCATTATTTATTTAAAATAAGGAGAGAGATTTATATACACTGATACCGGCTCAAGACAAGGTTGACCTGAGGGAAGCCATGTTGTAGAAAAGAAGCCCTATTGTAACTCTGAATGACCTCTGACTAACTAACCCAGCTGGATCTGCACCCTCCAGGAGATCTAACTGCTCTGTGGATTTTACGACCCCTGCTTGTGCATGTACCTCCCAGCTGCGATAAGATGATAACTTTGTTCTTTCGAGTTCCTTAGGAATGTGATGACCCCCAAACAGAGAGTCTATGCTGATAGCCATCATCAATGAAAACTGAAAGATCTCGTGTGGCAACTCCCAGTCTGTAACACCAGAGGGTCAACATTCCTAACCCCCTCCCCTATAACCCACCGGCCTATATAACTGCTGTAAGACTTTGTGCTCCTTAAGATGGTTCTTTCAGACATTAGTCCGCCATCTTCCCCCTTGCTAGCAAGCTGTAACAAACTGCCCTTTCTTTTCCACCATCTTGCCTCTTGACAATTGGCTTTTGTCTTGCGAGCAGATCATGGCCTTTGTGCAGTACCAACACCATATTTTCCTATGCTTGATCATTATTTTTAATTAACTTTTGCTTTTAAAAATTAATTTAATTTTAATGTTTCTACAAAGGAAACCACTCCAAGACTTAATCCTTTAAACACTAATGGATACAAAATTGTAAAACATAAAAAAATTACAAACCCCTTTCTCACTAAAAGGACAAGGGACATTATGGTTTGTCCCTCCACTATATCTCACACTGGGGATATTTTCAGGAAGAAGTAGCATATTATAATACAATAGAGGTTTGCAATTAAGCACTACAATAAACCAGGAATTCCAAAGTTTTGCATAAGGTTTGACCTATTTCCTCATATCAATGCAAATAGAAATTCAAGTGCTTCTTCCTCACATCCATTAAAATAGGAAATTCATTTGCCTCAAGAATAGTATAGCCTTTTAAATGTCAAGGTTCTCTAAGGACATGGACACACAAAAACTGACCTAAAAATGGAAAAGGCACCTGAGAACTTAAATACACCCATCTCACATCTTGAGGTTCTCTTGCCTAAATGGAACAAAAATTCTATTTGGCTGCACAATTTTCTTCCCTTACATGATATGTCTGCATCTTACATTTTAAAACCCCAAGTACTAATGGAAACTAGAATCAAAGGGCTGCCATCTTCACCTGATAAAGGAATTCAAGGACAGAAACACGAATATTCCAATCAGCTCATAGAAGCAGCCTGTTTGCCTACAGTTCAGAAGGAAAACCCATACTCAGAAAGTTGATCATATTCCCAAATATAGGGTCTAAGCACTCCCAGTTGAGATGTAACCCCTAGAGTGCTGTGTGCCTGGTGAAGGAGGGTGGGGCACCTGAGCAGCCACAGGAGTGAACTCTGGGAGCTCCACACACCCTCCCCTCTCCTGTGAGCATGGAAGCACTGACTCCCCCAGGCTTCCATTCTCACAGTGAGGACACGCTCAGCCTGATTCAGGTTAAGGTTCTGACCCAAATGAACCCCCAAATTCATAAACCCTCTGTCTACAGGACAGAACACCTGATCTTCACAGACTTCTCAATGTCCACAGTTCACGCTCTCAGTGCACCTACAGTGTAGATGGAAAACTCAAACATAACATTTAAAATGTCCAGGCCTAAGGAACCAGGACCACAACCTCAGAAAGGGCATCACTCCCTGACCCCCATGTGCATGTGCACCCCCAGCTTTCCAGGGCTCTGCAGCTCCTCTCAGTATAGAGGCTCCTTCCATGAGCGGTGTGAGTAGGCAGGACATCTGCAAGGGGAGGATCCCCAGGAAGAACAAGTGGGCCTTCAAGTCCTTCCTTTTGCAGGCCCAAGGGGGCCTTAGCTTAGATTCACTGCCCTCAGTCCTCTGCCCCCACTGGAGACGCTTTGGAACCTCACCGTTATTTTAAATGACGCAAACCCAGTGTTGAATAATCCAGCAAAATCACTTAAACCCAGCCTTTCCATGGAAAATAGGGAAGAAAACTATAATGCACTTTTACTAGTTCAACTAGAAAACCCCAAATATCTATTCATTTCAGAAGAAAATTATAAGTTAATTATTATTTCCATGGCAACAAATCACACTTGAACACTTGCGGTTTGCATGTCTAAGCCCTGGAATTTCATTTGAAAACATCCAAAGTAAAGACCAGACCACAGAAACTTACTACACACACTAGGGGAAGAAAGAGTGAAACAAGTATTCTTAACAAATGGAATGTAACACAGGAATATTTTATTTTTTCTGAAGTTCCCTCTTTGTTGCCCGTTTGTAATTATTTCATACAGTCTTCCAAGCTCTATTGATTAAATATATTTATACTTATTGAAAAATGGAGGCTTAAATAAGTGAATAAATCTTTTCTACATCACGCACCTAGGGAGGGGCAGTGCTGACAGGACAGATCACCCGGGAAAGTTTCTCAAGAGGAACCTCCACCCAAAGGACTTCCCAGGGGCCGGCCCTGTGGCTTAGCGGTTAAGTGTGCGCACTCTGCTGCTGGCAGCCCAGGTTCGGATCCCGGGCGTGCACCGATGCACTGCTTGTCAAGCCATGCTGTGGCAGCGTCCCACATAAAGTGGAGGAAGATGGGCACAGATTTAGCCCAGGGCCAGTCTTCCTCAGCAAAAAGAGGAGGATTGGCATGGATGTTAGCTCAGGGCCGATCTTCCTCACAAAAAAAAAAAAGGACTTCCCATAGGCTGTCTGTGCCCAGAAAGATCCTGGAGGGAGGGGCACAAGGATTTCCTGCAACATAGTTCCAGGTGGTTATTCTCTGCTTTCCTCTCATGTAAAATATCCACAGACCAATATAATCTTTATAAAAGAGTCATCCATGGGTAAACAGTTAAAATATTAGGTCTACTTGAAATGCACCACAGAGGATGAAGAGTTGATAATGATTCTGTGAACTGGAAAGGGGAAGCTGGGTTTGGGAATGTGGGGAGGGATCTGGAAATTTAGAGACTTACTGGCAGCCCTAGGAAGAGCTAGGCTGGGGGGACAGGGTTTTGGATTTGAGTGCCTGCTCCCCAAACATTTGGAAAACTCTGGAAAAAATAAGTGCCCCCTGGGGAGCCCCCTGGTGAGAAAGGAGGCACTGAGGACCCCACAGACCACAGTTCCTTTCACACATGAACTCCAGAGACTAAGTCACAATTGTCCCTGATGACCCTCCCCATGGTCACTCCACCATCTGGGGAGACACTGGGCTGTGGGTGCAGAGCTGCCCAGAGAGGCTCTGGGGCCAAAGTCACTGTGTGTAGTGATGGACAGGATGCCCAGGGTCCTGGCTGCCAGCCCAGCCCCAACACTGTGGGCCAGAGGGGACTGAAGTCCAAGCGGTGCCACGGGCTGACTCAGGTCCATAGACTCCAGAGGTGACTGCGGGGAGGCCAGGTCCTGCCACAGCCGGTTCTCACCAGCCCCTCCTCACCCGGGGCCGCCCACTCACCATTTCTAGGTCTCCTGCATCCCCCTGAGTCCTTCCTATGGCTCCCACGACCAGTGCAGATCTTGGCATGACAAAGGCTGTTGCAGAGCCACCAGGGAATGTTAAGGGGAGGTGTCCAATGATCCTCAGAGAGGCCTGACGTTTTTATGGGTAATGTAAACTTAGTCGTTAAGAACAAGCAAATTAAATAGATGAAAGTAAGATAAAAATTTCAAAGGTAAACTTTTTATATAGCCTCCCCAAGTCTTTCTGGTAATCTGTAACCTTAAAGTTTTGCTGAGTTAAGTTAAATGATGAATTAGGTTAAATTGATTGAATATCCAGATCATTTCCAAATAAGATGAAATACTGAAATGTGAAGTAGTGAACATACGTGTATCCACTTTTTGCTTCCTTCTACAGAGGAATTAAAGATATTTCACTCTATTAGTAAACAAGTCTTATGCCACGCTGAAAAATTTACTACAAGGAAGCACGTTTCTAGAAATCATAAAAAGTATTTATAATATGTCTGCCAATCCACTGAATGCTAATGTAAAAGTTCATAATTATTTGCTTCTAAGTTTTCACTATAAATTAAAAATTTCTAAGGGTTAAAAATTCTAATATATGTAATTAAAACTACTAACAATAATAAGGAAAAGGAATTTTATTGTGTGGTCAGGGCTGGCTCAGATTGGAATAAATTTAATTAAGTAAATGAGTTTTTTTTTTTTCTTTTTTTGTGAGGAAGATCAGCCCCGAGCTAACATCCATGCTAATCCTCCTCTTTTTGCTGAGGAAAACTGGCTCTGAGCTAACATCTATTGCCAATCCTCCTCCTTTTTTTTTTCTTCCCCAAAGCCCGAATAGATAGTTGTATGTTATAGTTGCACATCCTTCCAGTTGCTGCATGTGGGACGCAGCCTCAGCATGGCCGGAGAAGCGGTGCATCGGTGTGCACCCAGGATCCAACCCGGGCCGCCAGTAGCGGAGCATGCGCACTCAACCGCTAAGCCACAGGGCTGGCCCAAGTAAATGAGTTTTAATAGCAAAAGGAAGCTGTTGCAAAATTAGTATTTGGTTTTCTCTCTGTTTAAATGACAAAGTTTTCCAGAACCATTGGTCTGCTCTTGATAATCAGAGATTATAAAAGGTTTGCTTCTTTATCTTTTTAAGTAATTTGCCTAGAGGAAAAAAACCCAAAGATCTTGTGTCTTCTTGTATCTTCTCAAAATAATCACCTATGTTTCATGTTGTCTTAATCAGGTCTTTGATTACTTAAACCCAATGCTCTCAATATTAAAAGAGCTAAATTTTACTCAAGACTATGTAAACTTTTGTATTTGCCTTTAAAATCTTTTATTGTTATTTTGGTCAAACAGATAATTAAGTATTGTTTCATAATGATCCATGATCCTATTTGGCAAGTATCTAAATCCTTTTGATATTTTTGACAAACTTCTCAAAAATCCTTCTAAACGAAGTGTTTTTGACTTTGAACTAACTTTGGGTTTTTCCAGAGAGCCCCTAGAACATCTCAAAGGATTTGTTCTCTCTCTTTATAAAAAAGGGAGATGCGAAACTAGTTAGGTGTATTTGATATGTTAAATTACATGGGAAGCATTGTCAAACAAGAATACTAAGTTTTCTTTATGTTGTGTCTACATAGGTATGTGTTCTAAGTGTTACAGAAATTGTGTGAAATTCCAGGAAATCTGATATGTCCTGGTATAATGTCTTCAGTCAAAATTCCAGTTATTATCTTAAAATGTTGTATGTTACAAAAATAACCAATTTTCCTTATCAATTCCATTATAATGAGCTCTCATTAGATCTTTAACCAGGGGCATTTTTAAGTCTTTTGTCATTTACAGAGAGTTATTATTTTACTCTGATGCTTTTACAAAAGTGCTCCTGGAAAAGTGCCTCATCTTCAAGGAGATTCAAGGAAAGGACTTTTTGACAACTACAACTTTCTGTTAACTTTAAGATCATAAAAATGAACTCGTAAGAATAAAGACTGCTCTTCAGTCTTCTTGGAAGAAACTATACCAGGTCCTCCTCACTACCCAGATAACAGCCAAACTGCAGGGATTTGAAACTTGGATAGACCCCTCACAGCTGAAGAAGGCTCCACCTGACATCTGGTCCTGACAGATGCTGGAGACCTCCAAATCAAATCGACAAGGAAGAGAAGTAGCTGACATGGATGTAGACTGCTTCCTCCTAAGATGCCTGATCAAGACTTCCTACTTCAGCTAAACACAAACTCTTACTTCTTTCCTTTCTTTCTCTTAGTCTGGCATTGGCCTGGAAAGATAATGCCAACATCTGAATCCCCCAGGCCATTGTTACGGAGGGTAACCTCTGGAATTTAGACCAACTTTTTATATCAAACTAGGAGAAAATCTAACTGACCCCTGGCTGGAACAGGCAAATGCAACACTCCCTGTGAATGAATCCATTAACAATGCCACCTTAGTGAGAGTCGTTTGTGCCCCTACAGAATTTATCTTTGCCTGTAGTGGTTATCATTCTCCTCAGGCCTATGAATGCCTGGATGGCTGGCACCTAACTGGGCAATGCCTCTTAGGTATCTAACCGACCCCTAACTTTTCACAAGTGAACTAAGACATCTCACTGGTTGACTACCCTGTATTTACATTGAGTCAGAAAGGACCTAGCAGGAGGCATTCAGGACTCGGGATTCACTTCCTGTGACAGCGCCATACTTCCCTGGTTAGGAGCAAATGTAAATGAGAATATAATCAGAAAACCTCTCCTTAGCTCTTGAAGATATCACAAAATCCATTGCTAAGACAAGAGCTGCCCAAAAAAGATCCTTAGACTCTCTGGCCAAAGTTGGTTCTTGGTAACAGGATAGCTCTTGATTATCTTTTAGCTGAGCAAGGAGGTGTCTGTGCTGTGGCCAACACCACTTGCTGCACCTGAATTAACACTTCTGGGGAAGCTAAAACTCAATTACATAAGATCACTGAGCAACCCACTCGGCTTTTTAAAAAAGGTGACTCCTTAATAAGGTCTTTCTTTGACTCATTTGATTTTTGATTGGTTTGGGTCTTGGAGACCATGGCTCTAAAGTGCACTCCAGATATTGAGAACTATCCTGCTTACTATAATCATAATAACCTCCCCGGTTCACTGTATTCTCTCAAAAGCTTTAAATGCACGTTTGCAGCCACTAACCACCAAGCAAATGGTCTCCCTAAGACTGGAACATCAGAAAATGAATGAATAGATGACTGATTAAAGACTGTAAACCTGAAGCCTTGACCTGTGAATGTCACAGGGGTTAAGCAAAAGCATCATGACCTCTGGATACCACCTGAAGGAACAACAAAAACAGAATTTCACAGCAGTAGCTGAGAGTGGCACTAATGCCTTGGATGTTGGTCACATCTCAGTTAACCTGAGTCTGATCTAAAAGGGAGAAATTGTAAAAAAGATAAAAACAGACCCCAATTGGAGTCATTTTTCTAGACCCATGTCACCAAACCAAGGCTTAACATCCAACCTAACTGCAGCTTCAACCCTCCCCAGGGATGTAGTTTTAACTGGTCAGTCTAGGATTTTCTGGTCAGCACCAGTGAGGTAATCTGCCACATGGGCCCTCTCCATCCCCAAAAGGAAGATGAGGTAATCCACCTAATATGACCTTTCTGTCCCCAAAGGGAGGTAAGCTTGCCTAAAGTATTCCGTTTTTCTGTTTATGACTTCCTTGTCCTGCTTTTAAAACATTTTCCTTTCTGTAGCTCCTTGGAGCTCCTCTCTACTTACTAGATGGGATGCTGCCCAATTGAGGAATTGCTCAATAAGGCCGATTAGATCTTTAAAACTTACTCCGCTGAACTTTTGTTATTCAACACTATTAAAAATAAACTATGGTTCATATACTTTTTTTGTTTATCATGAATTGTTTATTGTGAATATTAAGTTTCAAAAAATCAACCTGAAATTTAAAAGTGTGCCCGAAGGCTGCTCCTAGCATGAGTTCTAGCATTGGCTTCTAGATTCCCCATGCTCATACAGATAACAATGCAATTCATTTCATGTAAGTCTTTTCAGCATTTACGTAAAAAGAACAAATTATAGTAAATATTTTTCTTTCTTCCCTTTGACATGCAAAGGTCACATGGTTTACACTGTGAAATGTGCTTTGCTTTCTTGTTCATGTAAAATAAATCCTGCACCTACTTTCACATCAACGGTGGTGTGCCACCAGCACGTGTGACGGGGAACACTGGGGAGCTGCTGCTGCTGTCCCTCCCCAGGCCGTCCCTGATGAGAGACAGGACCCAAGGGTCAGCAGGATGTCAACCTCCAGGCCATCAGGCTAGAGGGTGCCCTGGCCCACAGTCCACCCATCTTCACAATTTCACAGACTCTTAGCTCATTGCCAGTGGTCTAGCTGCCTGGCAACAAGAACAACGTCAGCTCCTTATCCAAGGTCACCATTTTGGGAGACAACACTCTGGGATAACCTTGCTCATAATAACTCAGATACAAAAGAAGGTCACACATGTCTCTGCACATCAAACTGCAGAGCCTCACTTCAACCCTCAGGCTGATAAATAAGTTATAATTTCTGAAACACCTACTGACACCTCAGTTGCACTCAGAAACAGGGAAAACAAATGGGGGGATGCAGGCTTCTCAATATGAAGACAGTGAGGGGCCCCTATGTTCCCATGGGAGGATGTGAATGGCTTATTTGAATAATTCTCTGGACAGACATGGTAATGATACCCAGTAAGCTACAGATTGATAAGACTGTAATACAATTCTGTAAAAGTGTAACACTATACTATACACTACAAAACTAATTATACATGTTAATTATACATAATATATTTTACTTATATATAATATATACTAATTATATTTAATACTATACAATATGCTACCTATTATATATACATGTAATATACTATATATACCATATATATAAATACATATATACTGTATCCTACATTCTCTCCATATATACACACACAGATACACACTATATGCAGCATTAGATAATTTTATACTATATACTACAT